AGGCAGTGTGGCTGCATGCATAAATGCGTATGGCCACGCTGCATGAGTGTAGGCCACGTGTGTTTGTGTGTACAGGTGTCAACGCACACACTCTATGTGTGTTCACCATGCAAACTCATGTCCCTCAGAGTACATATGCCGTGCATATGTAACTATGCACCATGCATGTTTAGCATGAGCTGTGTGAAGGTGCAGCAGGGCTGGTGCACAGACACTGTGTGCAGGCTCTGTGTGTGTGTGCCTAACAGCCTCTGTGCCACGCCGGGGTGGCTGTGCATGCACAGTGAGAGGTGACACAGGACTCTGAGGCAGCAGGGTGCCTCAGGCCCTCCCTCTCGCTCAGGACCTTTGCTTACCTTGCACCCGTGTCAGCCATTCTGGCTGGAAGTGGTGCTCAGAGGCGATCGAGAGGGTGTTCAGTGCCACCATCAAGATGACAAGCCAGTAGAAGAACTTGGACTTCACCACATCCCTGCACTTCCTACGAAACATTCGGTTCCAACGCCGCCACTGCCGGCTGCAGAGATGGCAAAGGATCAGCAGGGTCGGCCAGCAGGCCAGCCCAGGTCCTCAGGCTGTGCCTGCAGGGCAGAGCCATCCCCACTCCCTCCTCCAGGGGCCTTCCCCAAAAAGGGCCATAACCTGCCCCTGGCACTCGGTGCATTCACTCAGGCACTGCAGTTCATTCACACAAACACCTCCTGTCTTCATTTTGGCCTTCAGCACCTCTGGTTGGGGGATACAGGCACAGCTCCTAAATTACACACCATGCTGGACGGGCCATGAGAGGATGTTTGGAGCCTGGTCCCACAGCAGAGAGACTGTTCACCTCAAAGAGCTTTTTGCCAGTACCAGAGCAAAATTCTGTTTGCTGCTCACAGTGTTTGCATCCTTCTCTGAGCACCAGTCCCAGAAACCAGTGGTTGACAGGAAAGCCTGGCCCAGCTGGACCATCAAGTGAGAGACAGCACAAGCCCATGTGCAGAGCAGCAGATAGTTCAGCCAGAGCATACTTACAAGTAGAGAATCCACTTATTCATGCCCTCAATTTCATACAAGCTCTCAGTCTCTGACCCTCCTTCATCTGATGGTATCAGACCTAGGAAGGAATGACATTCCAGGCATTTCTTGGAGCCCTTGGGAAGAACATGTGGGAGGGAACTTCTTCCAGGTGCACACCAGGAAGAGCTTCCCCATCAGAAGTGAACTCAAGCAATGCTGTCCCAGGGAGCCAGCAGTGAAAGTTTGGGCAGAAGGTTTTGAGGGTCAGATGCAAACCAAGAAGGAGGCACCAGGAACACCTGCCCTGCAGCAAGAGCAGCCGCAGCCCAGAGAGGGACAGCCAGCACAGAAGAAACTGGGGCCAGCTGTGATCTGAGCACAGGCTGAACAACAGAGGTTTGTAAGAACACAGGCCACAGATGTGGAAGAGGTGTTTTGCCTGTCCCTGTGTTTCCCAAGGCTCTTTGCACACATGGGCTGCTCAGCCTGAGGCATCAGAAGTGCTTTCATGAGGCAGGGTGGCATGGCAGACACCGGAGCTCTGGGGCAGCACTCCCCAGGACTTGCTGAGCCTTTGGCTAGATGCCTGTACATCCACCTCCATCCCTGAACCACTTCTAAGCCCTTAAAATTGTCAAGTCATGGCAAGAAATTCATGCAGCTGTCAGTGTGCAAGCTCGTGACTCTATTGGGTTTGCACGGCAAGTTTTGGCAGTGTGGGGCTATAGCAGTGGCTCTGTCAGAAGCTGCTAGAAGCTTCCCCCATGTCCACCAGAGCCAATTCCAGTGACTTCACAATGGACCTGCCACTGGCCAAGGCTGAGCCCATCAGTGGTAGCAGTAACATCTCTGGGACAACAGATTTAAGAAGGAAAAAAGTTACTGCACAGATGTAATTGCAGCCTGAGAAGAGAGGAGTGAGAATATGTGAGAGGAACAACTATGCAGACAGCGAGGTCAGTGCAGAAGGAGGGAGAGGAGGTACTCCAGGTGCAGGAGCCGAGGATCCCCTGTGGCCTGTGGTACAGGTCATGGTGAAGAAGCTGTGCCCCTGCAAGCCATGGAGAGGAATGGGGTGCAGAGATCTACCTGCAGCCCATGGAGGAGACCCATGCTGGAGCAAGTGGACACCTGAAGAAGGCTGTGACCCTGTGGGAAGCTCCTGCTGGAGCAGCTTCTGGCAGGGACCTGAAGACCCATGGAGCAAGGAAAACCACACCAGAACAGGTTTCCTGGTAGGACCTGTAACCCTGTGGGGTACTCATGCTGGAGCTGTCCCTGAGGGACTGGACTGCATCCCGTGGAGAGTGACCCATGCTGAAGCAGTTCATGGAGAACTGCAGCCCATGGGAAGGACTCATGTTGGAGAAATTCATGGAGAGCTGTCTCCCATGGGAGGGACCCCATGCAGGAGCAGAGGGAAGACTCCCTGAGCAGCAGCAGCAGAAATAACATGACCGTAACCTCCACTCCCTGTCTTCCTGCACTGCTCCTTCCAGGAAGGAGGGAGGGGTCAAGGAAGGTGTTTTTAAGATTTTTTTTTTATTTCTCATTATCCTGCTGTGATTTTGGTTAGTAATAAATTTGCTTAATTTCCCCAATTTGAGTCTGTTTTGCCTGTGATGGTATTTGGTGAGTGATCTCTTCTGCTGCTTATCTCTACTCATGAACCTTTGTTATGTTTTCTCTCTCCTGCCCAGTTAAGAAGGGCAGTGATAGTTTGGCTGTGATGGTTGTCTGGCATCCAGCCAGGGTCAACCCACTGTGCCCCTGCATACCCAAGGCACATGCTCCACATGCTCCTCAAAGTGCCTTTTGCCAGAGGAGACCCAGGCCTCACTCATAGTCTGCAAATATTAAATGCAGTGGTCAAGTTGGAGACTTAGCATCAGGGCCAAGTTACTGCTAGTTTGGGTCAGATTCAACAAAGTGATTCAGGAAAGAAAAAAAGAGGAAGGAAACTGTTCCACAGAAGTCAAAACGTTTTGTTCCATGGGCTTTCAAGCAAAAGGATTATTTGTGACTTCTCCAAAGGTTTCCTCCTTGGTTCTCTAGGATGGTCAGTGTTAGGAACCCAAACCCCATGCTAAGGGTCTGTGACCAAGCAGATCTGGTACCTTCTCCCCTGGCCCGGTCACTGTCCATGACCTCTGCATGGGTGATCCAGTCCATGTAGCCCTTCAGATCCTCCTCCAGCTGCTGCTTCTCCCGGAGCTTCTGGAACGTGCCGCGGGACTTGGCCTTCTCACGCTCCTTGGTGAACTCACTGGGACAAGGCAAGCAGGAGAGTGAGACTCAGGAGAGCAGTACCACAGGAGTACCAGAGACCTGTGCCAGGCCAGACCTTCTGCAAGGCCAGACCTTGCAGAAAGCTGAAATCCTGAAAAACCCTGCCACCAGCATTGTCACTAGACTGCTCCAGTGACTTTCCTCTTTCTTGGCCCTGCTCCACAATGCAAAACCATGTAGGCCCATCACATGATGCCTGATGGCAGGCAGGATTCCTTCCCCACCACTGCTGCACTTGGGGAGCTCCTCACTGCAGGGTGCTGCCGTTGGACAGGCCAACTGACACCAGATGTTGGAGGCCCAGGGAGTTCCCCAGTTCTGCTAAGAATCAGACTGTATGGGGTCTCACCCATCTGGGGGACAGAGACCTGCCCCAAGCTCTCCATGTGGGGCAGGTGAGTTCATCATATGGCAGGTAAACATGACACTCTTTTCATGGTAACATGGAAAGGACAGGTCTGGCAGTGTCCCAGACCACTCTACTCATTCTGTTTCAAATAATTTCTTTTCTCTCCTGGTATCTGACAGGACTATAGAGCTGCTGCCCAGCCATGCTGGTGTTCCCATATGTTAGTAATAGGTATCAGACACTATAACAGTAATTTTTCTCATCTCAAGCATAATATAGTTGTATTTGCAAAAGTATTTCAGAACCTTTGCTGTGCCTGCAACTTACTTCAGGATCAGAAGACTATAGTCCTGCTCATCCAGCTGTTAACAGCCAACTCCACACAAGGGTCAGGTGCCTGTGGTCTATCTTGTGCTTTTAAACTTGTTTTAACTGTATTAATACCCATTTTGTTTTAATGTTGTACCGTTGTATGGTTTTTGCCATACAACAAATCCAAGTAATTGGGGTATAATTAACCCTGTGAACTAATAGAGATGGTAAGTGTGATCCACTTGCACATGCAGGATTGAACATACAGGAGAAAAGCTCTCTCACTCCCCAGGACAACACACTTCCCAGCAACAAAATCAGAATGGTGGCTCATCCCCCAGCAGTGTATGGAAAGTTGAGCGTCACATCTGGGGTCTTTAACCGTACTACTGGGGGAATTAGCACCAAATGAGTCATTTGGCTCAGAAGTGCTACAACTGCTGTAACAGACTGATGACAGCTCATTGGTGTACCTGGACAAGGCTGTTGAAGCATTAATTAGACTAACAATCATTCTTTAGGATCCCTTGCATACATATCAAAGATGTTCTCCTTGAGGTGGCCTAAGGAAATCGCAGGATGCAGCTGGGGGTGCCAGTGAGGGGTGTCCAGAGCCACAGCCATGGGCTGAGCATTGCTCCCTGCTTTGCTTCATTTGCTGTGCATACTGGAAAAAACACACCACAATCCCCAAGTCCTGTGCTCTAAGGTTGGCCTTGCTGACAGCTGCTTGTGTCACAGGGAAAAGTTTTCTGTCTTGGGAGCTGAACTCAAACCTCAGACAGTCATGGACACTAACATAAAAAGTAGCTCATGGCTCAGGGTTTCTAATCATGCAGAAAAAAAAACAAACGGGAGAGGAATGAGAGAGAAAAGGAACAGAACTTTTCTAGGCTTTCTTCATGTATACTTCAAACCAGTTAAAACTGTTCTGCTGGCAGAGAAAGGACAGGGTGGCACTTACCCACTGAGCACCCCCAGTACCAGGTTAAGCACAAAGAAGGAGCCAAGTAAGATAAGGCTGACGAAGTAGATCCAGGGCCATTCATTCCCCATAGCATCATTTACCTGGCAAGGAGAGACACAGGTGAAACATTCTGAAGGCACTGCATGCTGTCTGTCTGCCCTTAGGGCCTCTCAACAGTTTCTGGGAGCTTTGCCCCCTCCAAAAGGAGTGCTTGGGATGGTGGCACATAAACCTGGCTTTGAGCCCTCACTGCTTAGAACTCTGTATCTGGTTTTAGCAGAGGTAAAGCCAGACACAAGCCTTTTGGGATCAGATTTAAACACCACTCCCAAGCCTAAGCCTCAGCATAACAGTCTCCCAAGGACTGCAAAACATGGGGCTTTGCTGGAAGAGCACCCACCAGCCATTGCTGTGCCTGGCCCATATCCCTTCACACACGTGGGAGCCAGAGCACCCTCCTCTCTACCTGGAGAGTAAGAACAGCTCGACAAGTGCCTACAGGGATGCAGAGACACGGCCGGTGCGTGATGGGATGTGCATCACAGAGAGAAGCTTGGTGGGGGCAGAATGTCTTCCACTGGCAGAGAGACCAAGCCCTGCCATGGGGTCCTGCGTCCAGGAGGGAATTCCCTGCCCTGAGGCATGACCAGCCTCACGTCTGCCAAGCTGGGCACCAATCCCAAGTGCTGGAGCCTACCCAGTAGAGGACTTCAGTCCAGCCTTCCATGGTGATGCACTGGTAGACAGTCAGCATGGCAAAGCCAAAGTTATCGAAGTGGGTGATGCCGTTGTTGGGCCCTGGCCAGCCACTGCGGCACTCGGTGCCATTGATGCTGCAGTGTCGCCCATGGCCAGAGCTGGTGCATGGGGCTGGTTTCTCTGACGCCACCGTGGCAATCACATCTGTGGGGCAAAGCCATGGTGTGAGCGGCAGGTCAGGCCAAGCAGAGCAACCCCAGCACCCCCATCCTCCTGCAGAAGCCCTTCAAAGTGACCCTTTCACAAGCCCCTCACATACAGCTGCGTGCTGTATCGAACATCCCTCAGTCCTGCCACACTCCTAGGCCTGACGTTGGCAAGACCACACTTCCTGCTACCCACAGAACCTGTGGTTCTACAGCAGCTACACAGAGAGATCTCTGCCACATCCCCCCACCACAGCTCCACCTGTCCCGAGGTAGTAGCAGGTCTTGTGCATCCTGCCCTTGAAGAGCTCCTGCCCAACAATGGCATAGATGATGATCATGAAGAGAACCAGCAAGGCGATGTGGAGTAAGGGCACCATGGCCTTGATGATGGAGTTCAGGACGACCTGAAGGCCTACACCAAGGAGAAAGGAGAGGAGTTCAACCACTTCCTAAACGTCTTTGGGTGCACCCTGCATTTCTGCCAGCCCCACCAACAAGCAGCCTTTGAAATGCCCTGTGCCATAGGAAGAGGGGCATGAGTGGGGTGGGACTGAAATCTCTAAAGCAAGAAATCCTTTCTCTACCATGCAAGCACATGGGAGAGCCCAACAGAGCCAGGCAGTGCTGGATGTTGCTCAATGCCCCTCCATTTGTTCATCCTGACTGTATTCACATGAGTTATGGAAGAAGGAGATCCCTGTCCTGAGAAACCATAGTGAGATCCTGGCCCCTTTCACACTGGCCGAAGGTGCTCACACTGAGCCATGGAGGCAGCTAGATGTGTGTCAACCTGCAGACCCCTGGGCTGACAACTGCCAGCTGAAGGGATGAGCAAGAACCTGTGGCTTCTCCACACCCACTTTGCGGCTGGGATCGATCCATCAACAAGAAACCCGCCCGACGGCCCCTCACCCTGGCCAGGCCCAGGGGCTCCATCCACCCGCCAGCCCTTCCTGATGGCAGGGCACCCAGCACCCACTCGGCACTCCGGACACCAGGCGCAGGGGTCTCAGCACACGAAATGCACGGAGGGCCTTCACATCAAAGCCACCTTTTCCCCCTGACGTCCCTCCTTGCTTCGCATTGACCTGCTCCAGGGTCATGGTGACGAGCCTGAAAAAGGCAGGGCATAGGGAAGGAAGGAGGAGAAGCATAAGGAAGGACAGGGAAAAAGAGAAGGGCATGAGAACGGAGACCAAGAAATCTGAGCTAAAGATTCAGTGCTCTGCAGGCAGAAAATTGAGGCCAGGACTGCCAGCCACACACAGCCTCACCCAGGGAGCAGCTCTTGGCCAAGTCCAGCTGGGAGCTGGCACAGCTCTGCTGCTCACAGCCAGGGCCCCCCCACCCACTGCATGCATACACTGGAGGACCCCATGCCACCCCCATTCTCCAGGGCAAGGAGACCTAAGAGGCAAGGAGTTATGACAGGAAGAAACAGGAGTTAGAAAGGATCCCAGTGGATGCCAAGGCAGGAAAAAGGGGCCCATGGGAGAAGGCTACAAACTGGGTCCAGAAGTTGCCCCCAAACCCAGGGCAGTTACTAGAAAAATTGATGCCCCTGATGGGCTGTGGAGCAGGCCTGGCACAAGCTGAACAGCAGCCGCCTCCCTTCCTCGTCTTACCCTAGAGTCACGATGGAAAAGTCGAGCACGTTCCAGCCATTTCGGAGATAGGCATCCGTATGGAAAAGAAAGCCATAGGCAATTATCTTGAGCATCGCCTCAATGGCAAAGAAGATCAGGAAGGCATATTCCATCTTCTCCTGGGGATTGGGAAAGCAAGCAGGAGAGGATGCTCCATTAGAGCAGACTGTCACCTCCCTGGTATCCTCACCATGCACAGTTACTCTGGACCAGCCTCTGCTGCCAACCCATCTGTGATCCCCCACGCACACCAGGCAGCACCATGGCTGTCCTGGGCAGAAGGGGTAGCATGCTGAGCTACCACATGCCACTCTCTGGCCTGCAGCCAGCTCCTTCAGTGGCTCCCCTGCCAGTCCCTGCCCCAGGGCTACGGGTACCTGCTCATACAAACTGCTCCAGCAAAGCTGCTGCTTCCCAACCCAGCACCCAAAGGCGCCCGGCCCAGAGCACTGCTCCTCTCCGGCTCTCCTTACTGCTGCTTATCCTCCCATTCCTGCACAGCCTTCCTCCCGTAGGCAGCACTGACACCTTCTCCTCATCCCCTCCAGATGAGGCCTTGCTGGGTCACATAGTCACCATGGGACATGCCAGCTGCATCCTGACTTCCCTTGTGCTTGAGGCCCCCAGGGAATGGAGGCGTTGGGCTCAAGACCTCTTGCCTAATGCCAGAAGCTTGCCTGGCAAAGTGAGCTGCTAGAAACGGGCCTGCATGCTCACTGGACAGAGGTGCTGCACCCCCTCCCAGGTGGGACCTGGTACCCCCTGCAGGGACTCAGCACAGCCCTGCAGCCGCTGGGCCAAGACAACCTGCCTGTCCTCGGAGCCCAGCCAAGAGCCGTCTGTGCCCGCCTGGCTCTGCCTGTCACTGCCATCCCTCCCCTTGCTGCCAAGGGCCCTTCCAGACAGGGATTAAAAACCTTCTGAAGCAGCCAGGTGGATGGGGCTATTTATATTTCTGGTGTTCCATGGTCCCTCTCCTCAGCCTACACCCCTTGAAGGGCAAGGAGCACCCCTGCTTGGACTTTCCAGGGAATTGCCCCCAGAAAGGCAGAAACATCTCAGAACAAACTGGGAGTGGGTTTCCACTGGGAAATGCTGCAGTGCTGTGAGCACACCTTCCTCCCATGGTCCCTATGCCTTGCCAAATGGAAAATTATCTCCATTTAAGAAGGCCGGGCCAGGGCTCAGACAGAAGCACTGCTTGCTCCATTAACACATCCAAAACCAGTGGCTGGGCCGAGCGTCCCCATACAGCTGCCACCCATGAAGTGCCAGTTCCTTGTTGGATCTGACAGCTGCCATGGTAAAAGCAGAGACCTTGGCATTGCATCTGTCTTCAAGGTTTTAGCTAGGGCAACTCAACATCACTTGCCTCCCTCCCTTATCAGCGACAGATGCCCCCTGGACTGTCCCTCAAAGCCTGTCCTTGCAATCCCATGCAAATACAACTGTCACGAGGATCGTTCCAGATATGGACGGGCTGCAGAGCTGCACCAGCAGCCAGTGGTGTGGTGGGGTGTCTCCCCAGCTGCAAATGGAGGAGAAACAGGGGAATTCACTGTAAGCTATGGCAGCTCTGAAGCTGCTGAGGCTGGTGAATGCCAGGATCCAACCCGGAGCCCCAGCACCGCAAAAGCCAATTCCTTGACCTGATTTTCCAGCAGGACAGGCTCAGGCTCAAGGATCTCTGACTAATAGGGATTTTCCTCTGAAAATCCCCCCTCCAGAACCAAAAGGTGACTTGCTATTCCTTGGAGGTCCCTTTGAGAAGCTCATAGCAGGTGAATGGTGCCTTGGCCAGCTCCAAGGGTATTTACCCACTAGGTTCAGTGAGGGAGCAGCAAGGTCAAGGGAGAGCCAGCAGGCAGCCCCTACCCCAGTCACGCTCCCCCAGCCTGGGAAAAGCAAATTCCCTCACAGCACCAGTTCACTGCTGTGCCCTACAGACACATACAAAGAGCTGGATGATCCTGATCTGTCCTGCTGAGGCAACCCCTCTAGTATGAGCAAAAGTCTTGGTATGGCCAGTAGGAATGCAGCAATCCATCAGTGCTGGCTGGACGGGTGCCCCAACACCCGTGCTACAATAGTGGGTCCAGTTCTCCCAACTTATCTGTCCATATACTGGGCAAGAACTGATGTCAGCAGAGCATGAGGGGCCAGGTCCCTGGCTATGAAGACGTGTCACTAAGCATCTTTGTCAGTGGGATGAGGTAGTGTAGCAGGTCATGGCAAAAGCTCTCTGGATTCTCCAAGTGATAGGTATAGCTGCAGAGCACAAAGAATCATAAAATCACAGAAGAGTCTGGGTTGGAAGGGATCTTTAAAGGTCATATAGTTCAATGCCCCTGCCATGGGACATTGTGGAAGGACATCTTCCACTAGACCAGGTTGCTCCAAACCCCACCCAACCTGGCCTTGAATGCTTCCAGAGATGGGACAGCCACAGCTTCTCTGGGCAACCTGTGCCAGTGCCTCACCACCTTCATTGCATTAAAAATGTTTCTTATACCTAATCTAAATCAACCTTTAGTCAGTTTAAAACCATCACCCCCTGTCCTATAGAAACAGATTCTGCTAAAAGGTTTGTCCCCATCTTTCTTATATGTCACTTTCAAGTACTCAAAGGCCACAATGAGGTCTCCTTGGAGCCTTCTCTTCTCCAGGCTGGACACCCCCAGCTCTCCCAGCCTGTCTCCAGAGCAGAGAGGCTCCAGCCCTCAGAGCATCTTTATGGCCTCCTCCTCATTCCAACAGGTCGATGTCCTGCCTGTGCTAGGGACCCCAGAGCTGGAGGCAGCACTCCAGGTGAGGTCTCACCTGACTGGAGCAGAGAGGCAGAATTACCCCCTCACCAGCTGCCCACACTGCTAGGGATGCAGCCCAGGACATGGGTGTTTTTTTGGGCTGTGATCAAGTACAATACCGAAAGTGAAATTTTTGTGGTTACAATGCAATGTCCTGCCCCAGTCGGGTCCTCCTCCCCTTTCCCCCTGCAGCTCCAGCTCACCCCAAGAAAAACATTTTCTGTATGTGCATGAATGGGTCGACCAGGACACACGTGCGGGCTACGGGCACCAGGAACACACAGGGCAGGGAGCTGTGTTTCTGAAGCCTTTATAAGGCCTTTAGAAACACAAAACACCCATCAAAGTGTTCCCCAGAGGCTTGCAGCAACCATGCTCTGCAAAACCGTGCAGGCTGGCGTCCTTCTCCCCTTCCCCTGAATGCAGGTGAGCAAAGCCCTACAGATGTGAGAGGGAGAAGGGGACAGGAGAGGTAAGGACTGTATAGGAATACAGTTAGAGCAATCTCATAGGATCCCCTTCCTTTGGAAAACAAGGTGAAAATGAGTGCTGCGGTCCAGGAAGGCCCCTCTGAGCATGTGGTGGAAAGCCCTGGCACCTAGCTTGGGACAGGCACAGTGGAAGACAGGCAGGGCTTGGGACTACTGCAGACCATGGCTAGGAAGGGACATTGAGAGAAATACTTCTGCTCTCCACAGTGGCCTCTGTCATAGCACAATAATTGCTTGGGATAGGGAGACGTGCAGGAAAGAATTTCAGAGGGTTTTTGAATCGTTTGCACAAATCTTTTACAGCAAGTAGCTGATGATCTCCAGAGGTCCCTCCATCCCCAGCTGCTCTGCAATGCTGTGATTTTCCTGCCACATCCCCCAGCCACAGCTCCTTTCCCACAAGCAAGAGACAGACCTGGGCTTGAGAAGCCCCAGGACTGCAGAGACAGGAACCAGGAAAGCCACAAACAGCAGCCATGTAAGCATGGAGGGGCCAGGCCCTACAAGTTGTTCCCCACTGTATCTCCCTCGCTGGCTGTCCAGAGCTTCTCATCGTTCCATGTCACACCAGCTGCCCCACATCTGCTCAGGTGTCTGTGGGACACCTTGGTGGCACTCCTGAAGGTTCTCCCTGGGTTAGATGCCTTAGGTCTGCTTGGTTTAAAAAGGCTTTGGTGGGTGCTACAATCTCAACCAGCAAAACCATGGATAGAGGAAGGATTTGGTCACAGTAAGGACAAGGGCTGCAGCTGCAGCCAACCTGGCCTTCTCCAGGGCTGGGAGCAAAGGTTCAGCCAGCTCCTTTCCAAGGAAGCCTTGTTGTGGGGCTGGGGACCACACTGTGTGATGGAGCCAGCTTTGGAAGCTGCAGTGTTGTTACTGGCATTCAGGATGACTGAGTGGTGAGCTCTGCTGGCCCACCCTGAGGGTGAGATGGGAGAGGCCTGGCTCATCTGCCTACCCAAAACCCCACGGTGACCAGGGAGGTGGCCAAACCACGAGCTGGACAGGGTGCCTCAGCCCAGAGTGAGGGGGAGGACAGAGGCAGGGGCAGGTCATATCACAGCATGTGCACACCTCCAGGTGCAAGGTACCAGAGCAGCAGCAGCTTCTGCAGCCCCACACCAGGTCTGTACATGCAGACATGTGATCTATTCTCACAGCTGTTACAGGACTCCAGGAGATCAAGGGGGATCCCAGGATCTAGGAAAGCCACATGCAATTGAGACTCTCCTGCAGTGAGTGACCCACGTCAACGTCCAGGCACAAACCACAACAGCTCTTCAAAACCAGCACTGGACCAGCAGAGGCTCAAGGACTGCAGCACACGAGTCAGCTGCCCAAACACTGCTGTTTCCAGAGCTCCTGGCAATGCCTCCATGACAGCCCTTGGGTGACTGATGTTATGCAGGGCTCACAAGCAATCAGCCCCCCAGAGCAGCAGGAGGAGGGCTGAGACTCCTGCAACCACATCAGATGTCCATATTCCTGTCACAGAACTGTGCCTGAGGCTGTGTTCAGGCTTTAAAACAGAAATTCCCTAGCCCTTGGGCTGAGATACAACCCAAAATGGTGGGACTTTTGGAAGCATATTCTTTGACATCAAACATCTGTTCTACCTAAACATAAAGGCATTATCTGCGATAACCAACAGAGTGCCTCTACAGAGGCCATTACCTGTGTTACTAAAATTGCCTTCTTGACAGCTTGAGCTCCAATTTTGTTCCCCAATCACCAGGCCCCGTGTCTTACCTGAGAGGCTTACAAAGCCCATAGGACTCAGTACAGCTGCTTTTGGGTGCTCTGAAAGCGTGTGCTCCCTCTGAGCAGTCACCCTTGGGTCCCATTAGTGGGGAAAAGCTTTGAACTGAAAAGAGAGCTGGCTTTAAACCGATAGAGAGTAGACTTAGGTTAAATATTACAAATTAATTCTTCCCTGTGAGAGTGGTGAGTCACTGGCACAGGTTGCCCAGAGAAGCTGTGGCTGCTCTATCCCCGGGAATGTTCCCTGCCAGGTTAGACAGGGCTTGGAGCAACCTGACCTAGCAGAAAGTGTCCCTGCCCATGGCAGGGGGTGGAATGAGATGAGCTTTAAGGTCCCTTCCAACCCAAACCATTCTGTGATTCTATGAATCTATGAAAACCAGGGATTTCAGTGTGTGCAGCATGTCAAAAATCACCCACTGGAACAGTAGGAGGGGACCAACTGCCCTGGCAGGCAAACTGTGCTCCCCATTGCCTACTATCAGAGGCCAAGCAGCCAGCTCACATGCACACATCTGTATTTTCTTCTGTGAATCCCCTTGAATAGCCTGCCTGGCTAAACACACTCTGAACCTGTTTGCTCCTGAAGCAAGGCTTCTAGTGAAAAACAGTGGAATTTGAAACTCACTGACCACTCCAGAAACCCAAGCCAAAGTGAAAATAAATGCTGTGAATTATTGAATCAGTTGAAAAGTCAAACTCATTTAATCAGAATTGAAGAAAATATTTTGATTCCATTAGAAAGCCACAAAATTAGATAAAAACAGCAATACCATAAAAAATCTTCTGGATCAGAAGAAATCTAACCTAGAAAGCATAATAATTAAATATGTTGAAATTAAACACCTGTATTTCTTCCAGGGTAAAGCAAAATGAATTCTTAGAAGATTTATGGTTATTAAATACCATTTTTCCTCCCCCAAAATGAGTCCTGATTAACCACATTTTCATTAGACTAATTCTAAATCTAGCGTAAACTCCATCTGAAAATCTTCCCCAGATGGCCCTGGAATCATAGAATCATAGAATCAACCGGGTTGGAAGAGACCTCAAAGATCATGTAGTCCAACTCTACCGTCATTACTAGCCCATGGCACCAAGTGCCACATCCAGACTCATCCTGAAAACCTTCAGGGATGGTGAATCCACCACCTCCCTGGGCAGCACATTCCAATGCCTGATCATTCTCTCCATACTCTGCTCTCCAGGTTTCCTGACCTTGCAAGAAGGGAGTGGCAGCAGAGGTCTCCCAGGAATCCCAATCTCATCCCAAGACTCTCCTTGCTGGAGCTCCTCCTTTAGAGCAGAGTGGCTGTCACTGCTCTGAGGACCTGGAGTGCTGGAGGCTTCCCTGAAGGAAGCCAGGGCTGGACAGGCTCCAGCACAGCCCCTGGCAGTGAGTGCTGATGAGAGAGAGCCTCAGTCCTGCCCCCAGAAACAATGTCCCCACTGCCCACCCTGACTCAAGTTTCCCCTCACACATTTCGGCTCCTCAATAATTTCAAAGTCTTTATACAAATTCAATCCTCTCCAGAGAGGACTGGGCAATGAAGAGACACAATTTAAAAAGGAACAGGGAGAGATTAAAGGCATCACAGCACCTCTCTGCTGCAGGGAAATGCCTCAACAAGCCTTTGTTCACCAGCTGCAGGCCATGCAGAGCACAGCCTGACACCCCAGGTGATGGGGCCTGGCTCTGATCTCAGCTGGGTTTGCACCTACAAAGCCACCAGAACATGGTGACGACGGGACAAGTGCACAGTGGTGAAAGAACAGCAGCCTGGGGCTGCCAAGCTCTTGACACTGAGAGCTGTCAGCATGACAAGAGGCTGAAAAATCCCCTAACAGGGTATAGCATGAGCAATCCAGCTTACAATAACTAGAAATAGATGGAATTTCATTTATACATAACATCACTCAGTCCATGCCCACCTGCTCCTTGGGCAGCATCAGCCCTGCACAAGAGCCCTGTGAGGCTGGTGCCACTTCGTCCCCTGGTCATGCCACAGCACCACACACTGCTGGGCTGTGCTGGTTTGAGCTGAAGTAGAGTTAACTTTCTTCACAGAGGTTAGTATGGGGCTATGTTTGGGTTTGGTGCGGAGCACAGAGTTGATAATGCAGAGATGTTTTTGTTATTGCTGAGCAGAGCTCACACAGAGCCAAGGCCTTTGCTGCTTTCCATACTGCCACACTGGCAAGGGAGTTGGGGATGCATGGGAGACTGGGAGGAGACACAGCTGGGACAGGTGACCCAAACTGACCAAAGGGATATTCCATACCATAGGACATCATGCTCATTATATAAGGTGGGAGGAAGAAGGAGGAAGGGGGGACATCTGGAGTGATGGCGTCTGTCTTCCCAGGGAACCGTTACGCGTGATGGGCCCTGCTCTCCTGGAGATGGCTGAACACCTCCTGTCTGTGGGAAGCAGTGAATTAATTCCTTGTTTTGCTTTGCTTGGGTGTGCAGCTTTTGCTTTCTCTATTCAACTGTCTTTATCTCAACCCATGAGTTTTTGTAGCTTTTATCCTTCTAATTGGCTCCCCCATCCCGTTGGTGGGGGAGTGAGTGAGAGGCTGTGTGGTTCTTGGCTGCTGCTGGGGTTAAACCACAACATGGGCATCCCCTGGCTCTGCCCTCACAGACACCTGGGCTTAGCCACAGCCCAAACCCCCTCTCAGTGGGAAGCTCCTTTGGCCACTGTCCTCACCTCCTGCTTCCCATGGTCAATCTGCTCCAGCTCTGTCTGTGTCTCTAACCTCTCACCTCAGGCACTTTCTAAACCCTGTTACGTCTCCTTGTCCAGGGAAGAAACCAAACCCAGTCTCCTCCAGACCACAGGGGTTAGGGAAGCTGCTCAGGAGGCTGAAGGAACACCCTGCGAATTAACTCTCCGTGGGGACTTTTAACTCCCCTTCTCTATGGGCCTATCTTGGTTTGATTTCTAAAAGGCATTATAATGCATTGCCAATAGTGATACCTTGGAGTCTTTTTCTTTCACAGAAATGAGAAGTAAACAGTCTGTTACTGAACGTTTGTTGAGAGGCAAAGAGATAGAAGCAGGTCAAGGAACAAGAAAAACCTTACTTTGTATCTCAGATGCCTTGACTGCTTCAGCATTTTGCCCTACAAAGTCTCTAAGGAACAGGCAACAACCACAGTGGGGTTTTTCAAGTCACGAGTTGCCAGCACACACACACCACTCCCCATCCTAACACTGAGGACTCCCAAAAGCAGAAGGAGAGAAAATTTCATTTAAAAAGGGCTATTTTGAGGCTTTGATTCAGCCTCTCAGTGTAAATCAATGTGGATAGAACCACAGTGAGGATGTGAAGAGAGGAAAGGGATAGAAAACTAAAAATAGTGCAAAGTATTGATTTTGATCACATCAAAACATCATATTCGAGACAAACTGGAGAGACTGAGGAAAAAAATTGAATGATTGGAAAGGAGTGACCTTTCTGGTTAACTGACATGGGCTTCTGCACTCTTAAATGTAAAGTAACAAAATTAAAATACAGTTTTGAAAGAAAAGGTCAGAAAATTGTATTCCAAAAATGCTGAAACAAACCAGTTGAGCCTTTCTGGAACAGGAAGTGTCATGATAAAAAATTGAGGGGATTTGTACTTGTTTTGGCATCAATTCTTCCTTCCTGTGTACTTTACACACCGATCTGCTGCCTTTGATCTCAACCCAGAGGTGGTTTCAGCCCCTCTGAAAAACCCGTTTTGCAGCTACTTCTACCCCCTGCCTCCCTCTGACTCTGCAGCAGCTCTGGCTGGACTGGCATTGCCTGACTGTACCCACCACAGGTGTTGGCACCTGGCACCCGAGTCACCCGGAGCAGCCAGCTCTGCAGAGCAGAGCCCTCCCGCGCCCAGAGAGCACGAAGGGCTGTCCCTTACCAGGCTGGAGTTGGCCACATTGGTGTCATCTTCAGGCATGGGCAGGTAGATGGCCAGAGCAACACAGTTGGCAAAGATGGTCAGGAGGATGATGATCTCGAAGGGTCTCAGAGGAAGTGCTAAGGAGTGGAGACAGGAAAGAAACAGCAGGTACAGCCCTGCCCCTGCCCTGTCTGTGCTGCCTGGGTATGTGTGGGGGGACCAGCTTCCCACTGGGGCAGAGCACAGGGAGAGCAGTCAGACTCAGCTTTGGCTCATCCTCAGTTGTTGCAGGGTCCTAACACTGAGAACGTGGCTGCTGCAGAGGGTCAGTTTTGGCACAGGGCATATGGGGAGGTGGCACAAATTAAAAGGCTGCCTTGAAGGAATAATGAAGGGATGAGACAGCTGGCAGTTTCCCCCTCCTCATCCTTCAATGAACCATCCTGAAGGGTCAGGACCCTTTTGCATAATGTAGGCAGTGAATCAAAGAATCCCCCTCCGGAACATGCCGGTCCCAGCTTCCTCTGCATTCAGCATCCATGAGGGAGACACTATTAAGCAGCACCTGCTGCTCAGGTCTCAGATGTGCTGTGTGTTCCTGCCTGGAAGGTATCTAGGGGCAAGACAGCTCAGCCAGGGTCTCCTCTAGCAGAACATCCCCAGGTGTCCTACAGCCTCAGTGCCCCATCGCAGAGAGTGCTCCTTCGACTGTCCCCAGGAGTGCTAGGGGCCGGGAGTGAACACAGTGCTCAGCCTGAGGACCATCCCACTCCCTTCCAGATGGAATTGTGCTGTGTGGGCCCTAGGACATCTCAGAACAAATGGGGTGACTTGCTATTTCCACCTGAAGGCCCTAGAACAGGCACTTCGTCACTCCAAGGCTTCTGCTGTTGTCTCTGCTCTGCTTGGGCTTCATGGTCAAGGTTCAGCTATCACCTTCCTGAAGCCCCCAGACAGCTCAAACTCTGGCTCCAGAACTTCATTTGCAGCCAAGTTCTCCAGGGACCCTCACTTTCTGTTCCCCCCTCAGCATGGTCCAAACCTGCCACCGTGACGTACCCTGGGAGGGCACCAGACATCTGGCCAGAAGAAGACAGCCACTGCCTCTGCTGCCCCTGAGCTAGTCACGTTCAGGCCCTGCTGCAGGTTTGATATGCTGTGCCAGTCACCCCACCAAGCAGCACTGCATGAACAATGGTGTCTTCTTCACCTTGTGCTTCCAGAAGACAGCTGGGTGCAGCATGATGCAAAAACCTCCTAGAAATGTTTTTGGTCACAATGCTAATCTCAAAGCTTCCTGGGCAAGAATGCTTTTTGAACAGCACACCTCAGTTGTCCCTAATTGACTTGCCTTGCCTATACCCCTGGAAGCCACTGAAACTAAAACCAGAGGGAGGAAATGCAAATGCCAGCTGTCTGCCAGGCCAGATCCACCCATGGTGCAAATCAGCACGCTCCTGTCCAGCCCCTTCTCCTCCCCACTGTCCTACCAGCCAACAGCTACACTTTGACCCTACTCAATGTCTTCTGACCACACTAGGTCCCCCCACTAGTGATTTGAGATCTCTCATCCCCAGCCCCACCCAGGTTGGTACCTGGCACCACGGGCAAACTGGTAAATCTCATCCAGCAGGTACAAAGGTTCCAGTACAAAATGGCATTTCCCAGTATCTCCACCTCACTTTGGATAGACTTTCCAAAGGAGAACAGCTCCCAAAAACACACTCTGTGGCAACACAGCTCACCCATGCAGACTGATGCGACCACAGGGCACAGCCATCCAAACTCAGCACCCAGCAAAGAAGCTCTGCAGCCACATTGACAATGCCCTACACCATGGTTCATCAACCAATCAGCTCAGATTTCCAGATCATTATGCTGAGGCCTGCCTTGGGTTGCAGTGCTCATATCGTGGTCCAATCCAGCATCACAGGGCAAGGGGTGCCAGAGGAGCATCCTATCCATACCAGCCTGCTGGAAAAGCTGTTCCCCTTTGTGTTCCAGGCAATGGGGCAGAGCCCAGAGGTTGGAGGCTTCCCTGCCTGCTCAGACAGGGTGAGATGAACCCTTCTCGAAGGGTGACCTCGATTGTAACTGGAGCTGCAATTCAATTACAATTTCACTTCTTCCTCTCCTGCAGCCTCCCACCACACAGCACCCTAGGGTCCCCAGATTTGCCTTGCAGTGGGAATTAGGCCTTAGTGCCTTGCAGCTCTGTGGTCCTCCAGGGTGCCCAGACTCCTCACCCATCTGCCTTGAAGTCCTCCTGGCTCCAGACTGATCTGGAATACCAGTGTGACACCACAAAGTTAGACATGTCCTGACAACTATCATCTTGTTGGACTAGCTGTTGAGCATACAACACCAAGTAAGTTGCAGAACACCCAGATTTCCTTGTTCTAAAAAATACGGGTTTTGAGATGTAAGCAAATTTTAGCATAAACCCCTCTCTGCCTCTAGCCAACCTTTTACTTTCAGACACCCTGGGCTGAGTGGAGTGATACTCCCATCTCCAACTGCCTGGAAAAGACCCTGTCCCACTCCTGTGGTTCAGCTTTGTGTTCGCCAGCAGCACGATGGGCCCAAGGCACAGGAATGCACACTGCCACACTCAGCCCAGAGGCCAGGTATCCCCACAGAAGATGGTCACAGCTAATCTCTCCTGGGCAGCCTGCCTGGCTCTGCAGACCACAACAGCCCGCAGGAACTGGAATGACCGTGTCATGCCTCGCACACCCTGATCCCTGAGTGAGGGCAGCCAGGTGCATCTGGATCCAAATATAGACAGGTGCTGCAGAAACCTGATCCTCTGGACCATTTGTCCAGCACAGGTCAGAACCACCAGCACATGCCACCTTTCTGGTGGGGCACTCCCCTCTCCCCACTCCTCTCCCCTTCCAGAGCACCAATGTGGGAAACACCCCCACTGTGTATGCACTTGCTCTGGCATGTGCTGGCCCAGGAGGAGGAATGTGAGCATGCTGCAAGATGTAAGCCCTATTTACAGCTCTTCCCCTGCCACTCGGGTGTATGCACAAGTTTCTTCCTTCTCTGCTCAGTGCCTATTTAAGACACAGGCACAGTTCTCTTCCATGTGCTCATTGAAAACCCAGTTCTCTTGCCAGAGAAACAGAAAATGAGAATTCCCCAATTTTGACTCTGCTCCCACTCCTTGAAGGACAGAGAGCCCCTTTGCAGTGAAGGAACAAGGGCTCAAACTCCAGCACAACCAGAGCTGTGGGAATGCCCTTGTGCCTGCCAACATGTTCCCAGGGCTTTGGACAAGGTTGCATCTCTAGGCATGGTTTTGGTGTCCCCATGGCACTATGTGCAGAGCAACACAGCCAGCCTAAGGTGACCAAGCCACCTCCTAGAGGAGTAGAGCCTGGCCAGGACTGGGATCATCCTGCCAAGGCCAGGAACACACAGATAAGGTTCAGCAACTGAAATGAGAAAAGCTGTGGTGGAAGAACTTGATTCCGTTCCCCAGAGTCCATTGCTTTTGCTACAGCCCAAATCTTTTGCTGAGACCAAACTGAAATGTTTCATCTCCCATTCTTTTCTCTTACATAAAATACAAGTGAACAAAGCAATACCTAAAGGCCTAAAATAGTTCCTGGATGCATGACATTTTGGTATTTCTGAGCCCCAATGAAAAGATGAAAGCAGCACCCAAACCCTATCTTTACATTAAGCCAAAGACACAGAGGGAGACTGTCCCTCTGAACATTATGACCCACAAAACCCTTCCCCTGTGACAGCAGTGCCAGAGAGGGATGGGAAGGGGGGCTGAGAGGACAACAGTGTCCTCAGGGATTCAGGGGATGCTGGCCAGCCCCCCACCAGGGCAGCACACAGCTGTGGGACCAGGCAAGCAGTGACAGATACAAAGAGCCATCCCAAGCAGCTTGCCATGGCCTCACTACCCACCCCTAAAACTCTTCCCCAGGCTACCTGTTGTCCCCAGCTCCATCTTCAACTCCCTCAGCCTGACCCCATACCCACCCCAGGATGGGCACTGTGCCCTCTTCTCACACACCAACACCCCTCTCCTCTCAGCGGGCTGTGCCCCGTTTCTCCCCTCCACACAGCATGTTCACTTCCACAAGCCCCTTGTCCCCAGGCTGTCCCTGCCTGTCCCTGTGCCACCCCACCAAAGGCTCCCATGACCTGACCCCCTCACTCTTCAGCCCCAGCTTTCACCACTAGCCTATTCATGCCCCAGTTTGCACAGCCATTGCCTTTGCCAGTGCATCCTACTGGGGCTCCCCAAGCACCTCACTGCATTTTACAGACCTGATGGACAACCAGCATAGGCTTGAAACAGGCTGACAGCCCTCCTGCCCCCCAGCCCTGCCCCCTGCTCAGAGGCACACACACGTGCCCCCACGTCCCTTCAGCCAGAGGATACTTCCACTCCACGATGCTGATGCACGCCTTCCGCAGTGGGTTTTCCAGAGTTAGGCAGAACAGAGCCCTGGCTGGCCGAGGGGCCACCGGCGGCACTGGCTTCTTGGACTTCTCCTTCTGTTGCCTCTTCTTCACATCATCCTGGGGAGAAGCAGGCTCCATGGTGTTCCCCTAGCCGTTTCTCCCCCTCCTGCCCTGTGGCTGAGTCCCTCTCCCCCAGGTCCCAGCCAGCTGGAGCTCCTCCGGGTCTCTGTCTCCTCCAGGCAACAGAGGAGGCAGTGGGGGAGTGAGGGCTGGAGCCTGCACTTGCTTGTACAAACACACAAAGCTTGAGTTTAAATTTAGATCCCAGGCTGGCTCCGGGTGCTATCCCAGCTCCTGAGGCAGCAGAAGGGCCCCTGCAGCTGTTGCCTCTTCACCCTGTGCACAGCAAGTTGGGCAAGTGCTTTGCATGCCACTGCCAGGACTGGGGGTGGGACAGGCTGCCCAGCACTGGGCACACTGTCTCTGAACCAGCAACGCCTGTGTCCCAGGCCAGCTCTCTCCTCAGCCTCCCGGCTGAACTGGGAAGCTGGGCTGCCTGGGGCAACATGCATTTGCTGAATCACACTATTCAGGGTGGGATGGAGAACCCAATTCTAGCCAGTTCCCCTCTTCATGCAACCTGTCCCCTCTCCACAGGAGAGTGGATGCTGCTCCTCTGAGTCCCAGACCGTGTGATTCTGGGGCTGTATGGCCTCTGGGTCTGGGTCTATCTCATTGACAGGAGACCCCAATCTCAGAGCTCCAGGGAATCACAGTGAGTCCAAAAAGCACTCTGGCTTACTTTTGTTAAGGTGCAGAGGAAATCCTTGGCTGGCACCTATCACTCAAACAATTCCCCTTATGGAGCTAAGTCTGGCGTGTGGGGTACGGAGGATGCCTGAGGATGCAGGAACACAACAAGCCTAGTGGCTGGATTGTGTCCTGCCAAGTCCAGCTGGGCTTGGCAAAGCCCAGCTGGATGAACAGTATGAACAGGTATGGTAGCACCTGTGCTGAGGCAAGGAGAGAGGCAGGTTATCAGCACCTTTGTCAGCAGGGGACTGAGGCACCAGGAAGGGTTGTTCCTGGGGGGTTTCTTGGACTGTCAGCAAAATAACTGCAGCGATCTAATTACTTCTAGTAACGTCCTACGGCAAACGGTATCCCTGTCCTCCAGACCTTACGGTGACTGAGCAGCTGTGCCCCAGTCAACCCCATGCGTCTCAGGGCACTGCTCTGCACACAGCACCATGCTGCCCTGCTCACAGCTGCCTCGCCTTTGCTTTGTGGGGTCATCCCACTGGGGAGAGGAACTGGGCAGGAGTGCAGCCA